TAATTCTCGAAAACATTTTTCAAGGAAGCAATATAAATAGTATGTTTTTGGTTTTAAATTAATAAAGATAAGGTTCTGCATTTTATCTTGTAAGCATCTTAAATAAAGCTATTAGCTTGTCTTTGATGCAGAAACCACATTGTGTAATCCTAATAATTCTCCCAACACGATTCTATTTCGAACCAAGCTGATGATTCTTTTTCGTTTTTACGGAAATAACCTTTTTGCCATTCATCACCCGGCAACTGAACCGAATTGGCAACTAATCTAATCTCGGCGAGGCTTCCACACGCGCTGGCATATAAATCCAGCAACCACAGACAGATTTCGCCACATTGCAGGCGGTGACCGGGCCGGCACCTCAAATTAAATTAAGCCATAATTTATTTCCCATGGAGACGGGTAGAGAGACAGCAGCCCACAGAAGCCCACAAAAGCTCAAAATTCAAATGCCCAACAAAAATATGGCACTAAGAGCTGCTGCTTCTGGTTTTGCTACTCCGATTGCCTGTGCTTTTGCTCCTTTGGCTCCTGCAGATCCTGCTGCACCACCACACACACGCACACTCTTGAGCACAAACTGGGAGCCAGCTGAGAGGAGAATTTATTGGAATTCCATCAATGGCAAGGCCCAGAGCTCCGACGTTCCCACTCCGGCATCCCACTGTGACCCGCACAAACTCCAACTGCAAGGTTCAAGTTAGGACTCAGTGCTGCCGACTAGTAGCTAAAAAAAAGGTAGCTAAATGGTAATCTGAAAATAAATTAAACAAAATATAGTATTGAGTATTGAGCCACACAGTAATCTATAGTAACTTGTGTGTGATTAAATAAATGTATCTTAAGTCAGTTCTTAAAAAGATAAGTAAACTAAGCATATAACTCGACAACACTATCGAGCATTACAAGCCAGCTCCCATCAGGACGAGATGGAGGAAACTCGGACACGACAGTGTGACCCGCAGGAGGCACGAGCTTGGCACAACGAGGACTTTGGCACGGATGGCTCATCATAAATACAAAGCAGGCCAGCGCTTTGTCAAGCAGCGTTCGACACTTTTATTGGCTCGCCCTGTCGCCCCGTGTCTTTTTGAGTCCTGCTCCTCTATTTTTGCCAAAGAAGAGGTAGCCGTCATCGATATGCCAGCAGCATCCTGCACTTGCCACAGCTCCTAGCCAGCCCATCCTGCTGCTGTTCTTTGTCCCAGGCAAATGAAATTGAAAATTTTTATGATGGCAACACCAGGAGAGTCGGACAACCTGATGGGCCCATAGAATGCTGAAAATTTAAGCTGCTGTATAAAGTTGGTTAATCTGCCAGCTGATTAAGATGAGATTGAGTGCAGCAAGTGCCGTCGACGGAAGACTTGTCTTAACCCATTAATAGACTCATCTTTAAAATTCTTTAAATTTCAAAAAATTTATCTTTTTTTTCACTTATCTAGAAATGTTACCAGAAATTATACTTTTAAAGCCTTGTCGAAAAAGCAGCAATTAAGATCTCTGTTTATTCAAGCGGCCAAAATGGGTTAAGACCAATGTTGGCCACTTTAAAACATTAATGGCCAGAGCCAAAGCCAAAGCCAAAGTCCGTATAATTTTTATGAGCGCCGATGGGCTACACGTGCTCTCCGAAAATGTTTATGACTCGCCTTAAATATTTTGTAGACCAGAACTCTTGAACTAAACGAGTTAGTTCGGAGTTGGGTTGTGGGCCAAAGTAGCTGGCAAGTAACAAGCTTAACCGCAAAAGTTTTAAATAAACTTTTGTTGCTGTTGTTCCTGTGTTCCTAGGAAAAATATATTTTCAGAATGCGTCCGCGCGAGCGGCATAACTATAACTTCCGATTCCGTTGGTTGGCTGACTGGATGGCTCTAAGTCCTGGAATGGGGTGTGGATAGGAAGGGCTGTGGGAGCTGCTGCCTTGTAATGCTGTTAAATATAAATTCAAAATATATACGAGTGTGCGGGCGAGTTGGGCGAAAGCAACTTTGTTTGTTACTATTTTCCTTGTTGGTTTTTACTTTCTGGGTTTTTAGCCTTTTTCTTCTTTTCATCTCTTGCAGCCAGGTTTTTTCTTTCGCTTTTGTTACTTATGCAATTTGCATGAGCGCCAAACACCCACGAACAACTAACAAGTCTGCAGCAGCCACAGCAACAATGCGAGCAGCCAGCAAACTTCCGCCTGATGAATAAGTGTCTACTGGCGCCCACAACATGGGGGGAGGTGTTTGCCCTCCCCAGTCCGTGTCCCTCTGTTTAGTTGGCTTGACTGTACGCAGCCAGCAGTTATTATAAAAACAACTTCCTAATTGAGAAAATAAAAATCAACAGCGAAGATAACTGCCCCAAGTGGCAACAATGGGTGCCAACTCTGGGCTTCAAGTACAGAACTTAAAGAATATTCTCCCCAGAAAACTATTAAGCTGACAAAATAAAATATTAAATTACGTTTAATTCAATGAACTTTTGTTTGAGTTTATTGCCCAGCATGCTAGACTTCACATTTTTGACATTTTTTTACATATCTCATGTATGAATTCGAAAGAATTCATAAACTTCATTATCTAGAAATTCAATTTTCAACAATTTGCGGTAACCCACTTTTCTGGCCTTAAGACTCTGTTAAAAGAAAAATACATAGATTGAGCTTTTTGACTTAAACGTGACTTTGGAGAGCGAAAGTTGAACTGGGCCTCGACTGAGTGTCCTGCCAGCTCATCTTCGTCTCCTTCGTCCGGCTCATTTAACCCATTGTACCGTTCCCAGCCAAGCAATTGCAAGTGCAGCTGCGAAACTGCAGTCTGGCATAAATTTAACGCAACACAAGTCGGACTTCCGGTCGGAGCGACCGCCATGTTGTTATGCATGCAGCCTGGAAACCAGCAGCCTGCAGGCTGAGCCTGTATGCGTGGGTAAAAATTCAACTTAACCGAAAGAATGGAAGAAGAGTTGTCCAAACAAACCAACAGCTAGCCAGCCAACCAGCAGCCAACGAGCCAGAGCCTGGTACAAATGAAGTTATGCCAATGCTGATAGGCAAACAAATATCGCGGCTTTAACAATTGCAGAGAAAACAATTTTTATTTTTTTTAAATGATAACTATATGGTAATTATGGATTTAAATTTTGAATCATGAATCAATACACTGTGTGACACTGTGAAGATTTATAATTAAAATTTTATTTATTAATATTTTTTCTGCATTCTACATGTAACTGCATTTGAACAAAGGGAGAGCCATATTAATTTTTGCTATCTGTGTGACGCGTTACATGCGTTCTGTTGTATGCGCTGTTCTGGCAATAAATTTGATTTGTTTAGCAATTTGTTGCATATCGCATTGCGCATACGCCCCGTACATTCATCTCGTCTCAGTACAGTCACGTCCTCTCTCGTCCCTTATCCTTTGCTCGCCGCCTGCCGCTGTCGTCAACGATCTAGCCTGCAGTTGCTTTAACGATGAATAACGTGTTTCGGTTGCTTTTGTTTTTGCCTCTGGCTCTTCCATTTGTTTTTTGTTTTGTTAGTGGCTGGTGTTTTCATGTTTCAGCTACATGCAACATTTTATGCACTCCCATTGACAATAATTTATATTGAAATGTGTCACTGCAAATGCTGAAGTGGAGGGGCTCAAACGGCTTCCCTGTCATCTCCGTGAGGGTGGAGCTGCATTAGTTTCTGGGACTGGTTGCCGCATTTAATTTCTGGCTGCAGCCATTAGTCATTGCGTGTAGCAAATCAACTTTTAGTAGCAGAGACCCATTTCACTTGATAGTCATATTATGCAATATGGAAAACTATAAAAATGCTTCTCTTTTACTGCTGGTGGCTATTTGTTAGTTTCGTTAATATTTAATGGAAAAAAGCTTAAAGTTGCCATTAGTTTTTAATTGATGTCTTGGCCGAAAATGAGCATTCTATAGTAATATGCATAAATTTTCCTTTGATTTCCATTCTTTGAATAGTTCACTCAGGGAAGCTCCATGTTTGAAAATGCGGATTTAATTCATGACAATGGTAGTAACTTTTTGTGACTCTTGCCATCAACTGGCTGCCCCGGAATGAACTCCTTTTTTAAGCATCTTCTTTTATGCAATCGATGGCAAGTCAGTGCCAGTGGGGTCCCCTTCGCGTACACTTTATAATTAATAACAATTTAGCATGTACTTAATTTTAATTATTACTCAATTAGGTCAGCATCGTTATAATTTAAGCACCCGGCACTGAGCAGATAATTAAGCGCGGGAAAATTTAAACAATTTTCAGAGCAACGAAATGGAGTCCTGCCAGCCAGCCATCTAGCCATACAGCCGTCCTGTCGCTCGTCTTGATTTCATCCTTTTGGTAAGTGAGCGCCTTCGCGTTGCCGTAATGTTTGTGGGCGAGGTCATTAGGGTCGGTTTGTGGAGGAATTTGATTTCAAAACATTTTGTCAGAGAGTGAGTCACCCCAACTTTCCGAGTTTACGATGCACATAAATTTTATGACCAAGTTTCGGTTATAAATATTGTAGTTGACGAACTTTACAACCCCAGCCTAATGAAGTGACGATGAAGAGGCGTGACTTCCAAAAATTTGGGCTAGAAAATAAAGCTGTTATTGGTCAGATTGGTTTTTTGTAAAGGGAAACTTTAAACTTCAAATTTTATTTATAATTTTAAAGTCATCAGTACATTAACCTCTCAGGAGTAGTATCCCTGGATGCCATGATCTATAATTCCATTAATTTTTGTTGAAGATGGTCCAATTCAAGCCAGCCGGAAGCAATTTGAATGCCATTAGGTGAGCGCCCACGCACGGCACCACCAGAAAACAAAAAACGAGCAACTCCATATCTGATTGAATAATAATGTGTGCTTAAGGATTTAATGTGCTCCCAGCTCCCAATGTCTCGCTCCCTGTCACTGGCTTCCACTGGGGAGCAGCCATGGAGCGAAGGACCCAAAAACACAACACATCGCGGTGAAATCACAGAATCTGAATCTGATGCTGGGTCTACCCCTCTACGCTGTTGACACCGGCATGGCCAATGGGGAATTTTTCTCCAATGCTGATTGCCAAAAAAAGATAAAGATAAAATAAATAGTGAAGTAAAAGCGATTGTTTCCCGAAAGGATGCCTGATATATATGGGCTTCTTTCAACATACTACTTATGTATGCATGTGTATTTGTTTTGTTGGATAGCGAGGTAAACTCTCATACCCTGTTATTGGATTTAAATACTTTTGCAAATTATAAACAAAACTTCCGATACAGATACCGAGTATAAGTAGTTCTCCAATTTATTTAAAATAAATAACATATAGCCCATACATATGTTCATATTGTTAATCCAAAATATCTTACAAGTTTAAAAGTCGATTCGGTTAATTTTTGCATACAAATCTTAACGTGTAAACAATTTTACTTGTCCATTTCCTATATAAATTTAAATTTAAGAAACCAAAAAATCCACTCTTTATATAACATTCTTAGAATCCATTTTCCATTCACCTCTTGCGCATCCGGCTCAGCCCACCATTAAAAGATTTTCATTTTTTAAGTTCACTTGGAATGGAGCAAGATTATTAATTGTGAAATGACAAGAATGTGGAAATTAACAAACAGACAAATTCCTTTGTTTCTTAGGATCCTGCAACGAAATTAATTGACTGCCAAAGATGAAAAATAAACAGGAGAAACTAACTTCTTGACTTTCCGAACATTTTCGCGAAAGTGTCCCTCCAGATTTCCGGCTGGAGTATACCTGGCAACTATATATGTTTTTCCATTACTATCATCCGCTTGTCCATACCCAAACCACTCTGAAGACTTCCAAATCATGGCTGTAAAATGGCTCGTGTGGTCACTGTAGCTTGGCATCCGAAAGTTGTAACGTTGTATTTCGTCATACCATTTCTGTATAGTTTTTAAAGGATTTCCCAAAACGGCGTCGATGTTTTCCGTGTAATTTCCATCTTCTGCCGAATGTTCCAAAGATTGGCTTTTTGCTATAACCTGGTGTTAGGATTAAATGAATACTCTACGTTTTGACCTAAAATTAACTCACGACAGCATGCGCTTGACATTCTTCGCAAAGGGACGATGACAGCTTAAGATCTGGGACACCATGCCGAGCTCTAAGCTGGTTGTGCAAGATCAGGCTGTCTTCCTCTATAGAGGCTTTCACATCGACGATCGCCTGCGATTATCGACACGGATTATTCGCAGTTCTTTTATCAAAGGGAACATTTTAAAATTATTACCAGACAAATAACAAGTAAGAAGACAAATAAGATCATCATAATTTTAGTAAATAATTGAAAATTCCGAAATTCCAAAAGAGTTCGAAGTATCTAAAATGTTTTTAAGTCATCGCCAACTATCAATTTGTGACTCGACAATTCGGTGTCTGGTACTGTTAGTTTTATAGATATGTTTATTTTAATAAGTATCTATGCAAATTAATGGAAAAAGGCTTCACAATAGTCCACAGTGTGCATAAGACCTCAAATAGTGAACGGGCCATATTTACTAAAAAGTGTCTTCAAATATTGCATTTGCATTGCAATGTTCTTACCTTGTTCAACGTTTTTCGTGATGGGATCCCTTGAAAATGGGGTTTTCCCTTATATGGCTCACAGAGATGGCTATATCTTCCCCAATATGATCCGATTCTAAAGCGGAGTACCTTAAACGATTTTTAGATCGATTTCCCACCATTCTGCATTAAAATCCTGAGACAAAATATTTTTTAGATTTTTCGTCCATTTTTCATGGTGGGATCCTTTGAAAATGGGGTTTTGCCCTATATGGACCACAGCGATGGCTATATCTTCCTCAATCCTGATCCTATTCTCAAGCGGAGTACCTTAAACGGTTTCTAGATCGATTTCCCACCATTCTGCATTAAAATCCTGAGACAAAATACTTTTTAGATTTTTTGTCCATTTTTCATGGTGGGATCCTTTGAAAATGGGGTTTTGCCCTATATGGACCACAGCGATGGCTATATCTTCCACAATACTGATCCGATTCTCAAGCGGAGTACCTTAAACGATTTCTAGATCGATTTCCCACCATTCTGCATTAAAATCCTGAGACGAAATATTTTTTAGATTTTTTGTCCATTTTTCATGGTGGGATCCTTTGAAAATGGGGTTTTGCCCTATAGGGACCACAGCGATGGCTATATCTTCCTCAATCCTGATCCGATTCTCAAGCGGAGTACCTTAAACGATTTCTAGATCGATTTCCCACCATTCTGCATTAAAATCCTGAGAAAAAATATTTTTTAGATTTTTTGTCCATTTTTCATGATGGGATCCCTTGAAAATGGGGTTTTCCCCAATATGGCCCACAGCGATGGCTATATCTTCCACAATACTGATCTGATTCTCAAGCGGAGTACCTTAAACGATTTCTAGATCGATTTCCCACCATTCTGCATTAAAATCCTGAGACAAAATATTTTTTAGATTTTTTGTCTATTTTTCGTGAAAATGGTCCTTTGAAAATGGGGTTTTCCCTATATGACCCACAGCGATGGCTATATCTTCCCCAATACTGATCCGATTCTCAAGCGGAGTACCTTAAACGGTTTCTAGATCGATTTCCCACCATTCTGCATTAAAATCCTGAGACAAAATATTTTTTAGATTTTTCGTCCATTTTTCATGGTGGGATCCTTTGAAAATGGGGTTTTGCCCTATATGACCCACAGCGATGGCTATATCTTCCACAATACTGATCTGATTCTCAAGCGGAGTACCTTAAACGATTTCTAGATCGATTTCCCACCATTCTGCATTAAAATCCTGAGACAAAATATTTTTTAGATTTTTTGTCTATTTTTCGTGAAAATGGTCCTTTGAAAATGGAGTTTTCCCTATATGACCCACAGCGATGGCTATATCTTCCCCAATACTGATCCGATTCTCAAGCGGAGTACCTTAAACGGTTTCTAGATCGATTTCCCACCATTCTGCATTAAAATCCTGAGACAAAATATTTTTTAGATTTTTCGTCCATTTTTCATGGTGGGATCCTTTGAAAATGGGGTTTTGCCCTATATGACCCACAGCGATGGCTATATCTTCCACAATATTGATCTGATTCTCAAGCGGAGTACCTTAAACGATTTCTAGATCGATTTCCCACCATTCTGCATTAAAATCCTGAGACAAAATATTTTTTAGATTTTTTGTCTATTTTTCGTGAAAATGGTCCTTTGAAAATGGGGTTTTGCCCTATATGGACCACAGCGATGGCTATATCTTCCACAATACTGATCTGATTTTCAAGCGGAGTACCTTAAACGATTTCTAGATCGATTTCCCACCATTCTGCATTAAAATCCTGAGACAAAATATTTTTTAGATTTTTTATCTATTTTTCGTGAAAATGGTCCTTTGAAAATGGGGTTTTCCCTATATGACCCACAGCGATGGCTATATCTTCCCCAATACTGATCCGATTCTCAAGCGGAGTACCTTAAACGATTTCTAGATCGATTTCCCACCATTCTGCATTAAAATCCTGAGACAAAATATTTTTTAGATTTTTTGTCTATTTTTCGTGAAAATGGTCCTTTGAAAATGGGGTTTTCCCTATATGACCCACAGCGATGGCTATATCTTCCCCAATACTGATCCGATTCTCAAGCGGAGTACCTTAAACGGTTTCTAGATCGATTTCCCACCATTCTGCATTAAAATCCTGAGACAAAATATTTTTTTGATTTTTTGTCCATTTTTCATGATGGGATCCTTTGAAAATGGGGTTTTGCCCTATATGAACCACAGCTATATCTTCCCTTCCCTTCACTGCGTTGCACACTTTTGACCAAAATATAGTACCCCCTGCGAGAGTATAAAAAGCTTTTATTTTACCCATTCTGGTCTAAACTGAGTCAAAAAGATTTAGACAAAAATCATTTATTTACTTATTTGATCGGCAAAAGTTAGAAGTTCCTGAGCTTCAATTATTACTATTTCTATCGGAGTTAGATTACCATTCGATCCCATCTCTTGAAAGATGCCTTTAAACGAGACCCCCGATTCAACTGAAATCTGGTGCTTATGGCTGGCAATTTGTGTCTAGTGTCGACAGCTGGTCGGAGCTTTAATGCTTTTGGCATTAGAAGGGAACTGGCTGACGAGTTTGGTTTTTGGAGGTGCCCATGTGCAATTATTTTGAGCGAGCAACCGCCACCAGGACAAAGGATAATGCGATGAGTTTAGATCGTCAGCGGCAGTGGGCTAACTCTATTACGGTCACGCCCCCAATCCACATGCCCTCCGACAGATATTAAATTTTTCCTACGGTCGCTCCATGGTGGTGCGGCAATAAACGTTCGGCTTCGTCGTTGGCTTTGGCATGCATGTGTCCTGGTTGCGGGTCCTGTGACGAAAGATGAGCTCCGGCCGCAACCCATGTGGCTGATGCTTTGGGCCATCATTGTTGACAACAATATCAGTGTTTGTGACAACAGCCCCAGCAACAAAAACAATAGTTCCAACAACCGCCCAGAAGCGGCGACAACTGCAAGTTACTTTGTCCTCCGTTTGGCTTCGGTTTCGGGTTTTTGGCTGTAAAATGTCAATTTGGGACCCTGACGAAGATTTATTGTGTGCGGGTGTCGGGGGCGTTTGAGTTTAATAGGCACTCTTAAATATCTCATTTACCTCACACATATTTCCTCTATCAATTTCGACCGCATGGCTTCGACAGCTTTGGTTCAGATTTGATTGCTAGATATTTTCCTTATTTTGATGTCACATTGGTTAGAGAGAAATATTTTATAAACTAGTCTTTCCTTTTGTGTTGTAATAACCAGTACAAAAAGTAATAATATCAAAAATTCCGGACATCAAGCAATTGTTCGAATATTTTTCAATAGGCTGCAATTAGAAATGCCAGTTTTTCATCAAAAAGGTGTTAACCGACATCAAAAAACTCATACGCAATAAAACTTAATTTAATGCTCGCATATGAAGCACCCAATATGGCAAGAGGAAATTATGGAAAAACTTGCATAATAAATGCAATTTATCCTTCCTTGTGGCGTCGTGACGACAGCCCCAAGGTATCCTCGTTCGCACAAGCCCAATAACTCAATTGTGAAACCGATGGGACTGTGGCATAACTAAACTAATTTCTTTTAATTCAGACAGAGCGTATTCGGTTTAGTTTTGTCTGTGGATGGAAGTCCCCATGGTGCCTCCGGACAATGCCGGCCAACTGTCCGGGTGCGAAACTTTGACGATACCCACTCCTCCCTCGACCAACCGAATGATTCGGGCCACTGCCCCCCTCGGTCTGCTTCTTTCCCGGTGGCTGCCCTGACCGACATTCGACGAATTGACCCACGCAGCTTGTTATTTTTCGTGTGCAACAGCGCGTTTCTCTCGTCCTGGAGGCTATGGGGCTCCACCCCATTCGTACCAATGCAACCCGCCCCCTTTAAATAGTGATGCCAAATATTCTAACTTGCAGATAGCCGGTACATTGCTTCAGATACTTGTAGAATATTCAAAAGACATTTTATTTATACTCAATATTGATTATTTCTTAAAATTATGCTCAGCAATTTTTTTTTTTATTCTCATATTTTAGTTTTCTAAATATTTCGATAATCTTAGTAGGTTCCATTTATTAGAATCCCAACTTAACATCACTGAATTGGATGCTCTTTCCTTGTTTCTAACCAGGGAACTAAAGCACTCTGCCGTGACAGTTCACCTTGCTTTTTTGTCTGGCCAAAGTTTGGCTCTATTTTCGCCAGATTCCGCATTCGGCGATTCGGACAGCCGACGTCTGTTTTTCACCTGCCAAGCTTTGCGTTCACCGCCACTCTCCTCCGGATTTGGATTTGGGTTCGGATTCAGGTGCTGTTTGTTTGCGTATGGGAAATCGGTTCTGTGTGTCCATCTGAGGAAGTGTGTGCCTGTGTCTGGGTTGGGCGAGCAGGTGTGCGTTTATTTTACGCTGACAATTGTAATTTTCCCAGAGGGCAAAGGTTTTTAATTAGATTCTACTTTATTTTCCGCTGTCATTCAATGCAATGCACAGCGGGTGCTCTATGTTTTCCATTTCGACCAGCAAAGCGGATAAATGATTTTAATGAGTTTTTTTTTAGCTTTTTGCATCTTGAGCCATTTTTAAAATAATACCGATGACCAAATGTTTAGTTAAATGGAAAGTAACATGGAATAAAATCATCAAGTAGTTTTTCAAAATATTTGGTATCATTTGTGGAATATTTATTAGTACATTATTTGACACAGGTATTTGTGTGTATTTCACTCTTAATTCTCATACAATTTAGTTATTAATAAACTGAGCGTGTTTATGAAGTATGAACCAGTGTGATATTCGGACTTTTGAAAATTCCCGAGTATGTTTCACACAACATGACAAAAATTATAGTTGCAAAGCGCCAGGATTATCCAAAGACATCAAAGAAACAGTCACAAGACCACAAGAAGAAATAATACCAAGCAAAAACAACTATAAACCATTTCAGCGTCTCAAGATAGTGGAGTGCAAGTCCTCTGATGTTGAGGAAACATTCCCCGAGGAAGAAGAATGTGGAAAGCCGTCCTCAGAAATGAGGATACCGTTAAAAAACATAGTAGAAGAGTTTAATAGGATAAAACGACGAGTGAGCCGATTGAATCACCTTTTGCAAACTGATGCACCAGAGTGCCCTTCTGTAAAATCATGTTTTGACGATATAGATTCAAAACTCTACGAAACTTGTCCACTCATCCTAGACCTTCAGATCAGTGGCCATAAGTTGGATATCCAACTTTGCCAGTTGCTATCTGCACATAAATCTACTGTCATGAGCATAAAAATGAGGAACAATGAACTTTGCAGTAATAAGGAAAAAGCTGACGCTTTGTCGAAACAAGTGGGACAGCTGGACTTCTTCCAAAAGGGGCTTGAAAAGGAGCAGACGCTTTGCCTCGAGCGCTATCGGCACATAGACAGTATAAAGCTGAATTGGTGTGAATTCGACAGGGATTCTGAAAAATTGGCCAGACTTGCCGCTTACCAGATGTCAAAACTAATTAAGAAAAGTAAATACCCGGATATAAAACGATACGTCTTTAAACTGATTAAACACCTCTATAAAAGCTCCAGAGAAGCTCGTGTTATGTTGATAAAAGAGCTGAATCATGTACGAGATGAATTTACTAGGCTTAGTGGAAGTTCCTATGGATCCGATGAGGGTAGAGACGTCGAAAACGAATCTCATGTAGCTAGCTTTAAGACTTAATGAGAAAAAGGCTGGAAGGTTGTCTGATAGGATGCTTTAGAGAAACTTTGAGCCTTGTTCTTGTTAAGTTTCTTAATTCGCTAATAAAACTTAAAATAATATATAATAGATACTCTTTGTATTATTATGGTAAAAGGGTTTTTCTTGAAGGTAAAGTGGCTTCAACACATGGAGCGGATACATGGTTGTTACGTCATATTACGTATACGTCACGAATACAAAATATACTAAACACTAAATAAACTACTTAAAAAAGAGTCATCTTTGACTTACCAGTTAAAACAAAATAGGACTGACTCCAAAACACAAACACAATAATTTTTGAATTTCTATAATTTTCCTATACATTTTTAAAATTTTTTCATACCTACTCAATTGGATTTACAGTTATTGAACTATGGATGCAGACTTTCCCGAGGGTTCACCACCTTGCAGAGCAGCAGGACTGCCGCCACAAGAAAACCCGGTTCCCGTCATCGAGGTAAAGGTGTCGAAATTCCTTGCAAAGAAAAAGGAAAAGCAAAAGATAAGGGTAAACAATGAAGTGTTCCACTGCGACGTAGACGAACATTCTGTTCTTGAAGAGATGACGCCGGATAAAGAAGAATCCTCAGATCGGGGAACGCCTAGATGGGTTAAGTTGGACGAAATACAGAATGAGTTGAGCGGCTTGAAGCTCCGAGTAAGCCACCTGAACGAGAAATTCCGCCTGTACGTGCCCAAATGTCCTGATATCGATCCCTGTAGTGATATTGGGTTGGAGACGATGAAACTAGATACCCATCCCGAAATCCAGGACCTGCAGCGCAACAACCAAAAGTTGATTCATCAGCAGGCCCAACTAGGACAGGTTGCAGGGGCTAGCAATCTTGGCATTACGCATCTAAAGAACGCTCTCGGCCAGAGTATGTGCTCTGCCAATAGCATACAGGGTGTGTTTGGGAAGCTCGACTGCTTCCAACGCAACTTAGAAAAGGAGCAGACTCTGTGCCTCCAACGCTTTCGGGCTATAAACCATCGGAAACTCAATAGCGACCTCAAGAATGTGAACTATTCCATCACCTTCGACATGGAGGAGCACTGCGGATTGAAATATAACATGGAAAGGCTGATCACCTTTAAACAGTTCAAGGAAAGCAAGAAGCTGGCCTGTCAGGTGGTCTTTAATCTGAAAAATGGCGCCATGAACCTTATTGATGTCATGCATACGAGAATTCATAGCCTTGACGACCGTCTCTATTATCCCGATCGGCACCAGACGCTAATGTCCTTCATAGAGCGAAATTCATCCATGGTCGAAAAAAGGAAGTCAAGCTTAATAGATAATGCGGAGCTCGACATATCATAGACAATAGTTTATAGATAATCGTCCGGGTTCCTGAATGGCAAAATTATTGTAGATAGTTGGCACATCTTTTGTTTGAATGAACGTGTTACAATTACCGAAAAAAAGAAGCTCCAAATCTAAACATCACTTATGAAATCCCATGTTGTTTAGTCAGACTACCGATTTTCATTAGAAATAAATTTACCTGGCAGCTAAATAAAACCCATAATCCTTGGTATTTATGACTTATACAAGATTTTCGTAAACTCTATGCCCACCACTTAGTTATAAAAAACTTTAATTATATATATATTAATATATATGTATTTTAATTTGCTTATAAAATAATGGGCTTAGTACAAACTCAGATAGTTTTGGATTTGGATTCAATTTTAACAAATTGTTTTTTTTTTTTACATTGCGGTCGTCCGGTTTCAGCATTTTGATTACAATATGAAAAGGATTACTGGGGGAACATGACTCTACCAGGCCTATTAAAAAATGTGCGTTAGGAAAAAAATTAAGGCCATTGCACCTATTCGCACATCAATCATGATAGCCCCAGTCTTACTACAATTAAAAAAAATTTAAAATTAAAAAAAAAAATTAATTAACTGTTGTACTTACCTCGGAACGTTCTCCTCAAACTTGCCCATCACATTTCCAGCTGGAGTATACCTTACCACCACGAAGGTAAGGCTGCCGTTTACGGCTTGACCATAACCCATTTCTTCCGAAGACTTCCAAACCAGAGCAGTAAAGTGTCCAGTTTTCGAACTAAACCCAGGATTGCTAAAATCGTAGTCTTTGATTTCATCATACCAGTCCTGAGTACATTTGTTAGGACTGTCGGATCTAACGCACAAATTTTCGCCGTAATCGCCGTCCGAGTGTTTCAATGTATTAATCTTTGCCAATTCCTATGACCAAAAACAAAATATTACCGAAAATTAAAAATTGTGCAAAATGTTTCTTACTATTGCATATGAAGCACAGCCTTCGCTAAGACTCTCAGATAATTTTAGAGCCGGGCATCCATGGATGGCCCTCAGACGGTTGTGGTCTTCCAGACTTTCTTCTGCTTCCTTGGTCGATGCTCTGCCATTTATATAATTGTGACTAACGTCATAGGCATGGGCCAATGCCAGAATAAGGATGACCGTAAAAATAACGCCCATAAAATTCATTTTAAATTTGTATACTTTTTTTACTTTCTATTTCTAGTTTTTTTTTTTAATTTTAGCAGAAAATTTTTAAGCAATTTTTTCGAACGGTTTGAAAGATTTTTTTAGAATCTAGAATGATAGAAACATTTTAAATAATGTACATTTTAAGGTAATAAATTTATCAGGGCCAACTAATCAGAAAACTCATTACTAAGTCGATTTATAATTTTAATTTTGTAGAATTTTTAAACTTCTCTTTAACTCACACGACGTAGACTGCCCTAATATTTATACATATATTAAAAATGAATTTATTATTTATAAATTTATTTATTATATTTATTTATAATCGTCAGTCTCATCCAATGCTGAGATTATTTAGGGAATTTTTTAGGAAATATAATTTTTTTAGTTTAATCTTTTTAGCAAGAAAGTTTTGTGAGTCATTAAACTTATCATAAATATTCAATCCATGAATTAATAAAGCCTCAGAGTGTGAGTAATGTTTTTTATGACTTCTTCTGACTTATTCTAGAGAATACGAATTCATATTCCATTTAATTTCCATGATTAGACAGTTGTTTCTGCATTTTTTTCTAGATTCTAAAACATTTTGAATTTTCAATCAAAACCTTTGACACGACAGAAGCCAAAACTCCTTCTAGAAACTGTACACTTCGTTATACAATTTGTTATATTTCCTAATATATTTCTATCGATTTTGCACTTTGCATATCATGAAAAGCGGCTCAACAATCAGTTGGAAATCAACGCAGGCTAATTGCCATGCTATAGGACTACCGAAGAAAGAAAAGCCTCTATTGATTTCTGAGGAACCAAAGTATATTAAAAGAGTGCCTGTTAATATAACGCAGAAGGTAGACCCATGTGAGTTGAGTGATTTGTATCTGGCGGAAGATTTGTCAGAGGAGTCTTCAGTCCAAACAACACCAAGGAAGACTAAGCTCCTTGATATTTTTGAGGAACTCAATTTTTTAAAGCGTCGTGTTAATAAACTTCAAAACCGTTTAGGAATAATTTTGCCCTCGTGCCCTGAAAATGTTTATGAGATGAAACTTGCTGAAGATTACACACAACCTGACATCCGCACTCTTCGCATCGACAGTCTTAATTTGGATCATCAGCTGGTTGAGATTGGAAATGTTCGTAGGGCAACCGAACAGAGCATACAAATTCTGAGAAATTCCATTTGTGGGGACTTGAAAGTCTGTGAAAACAATCAAAAAAACTTGGGAAACCTTGAATCCTTCCAGTATCACTTGGAACGGGAGCAGCACCTATGCCAGGAGCGCTACCGAAGCATCAAGCTCTTAAAGTTGGGCATGGAATCGTTCGCTGTTCTCGGCACCTCCGTAATGGATAATAAAATGATAATGCTGACATCACTGCACCATTTGCTAAGGTTTAAAGATCACCAGGACTATGAGCAGCGAGCCCGATTCATTATTTGTTATCTCTACAATGGCGCCGCGTTCCTACTAAATTGTATAAGATCAATGATTTTAGAGCAAACTGGTAAACCCTCTTCCGTGGATCTAAATCGGGTGGTCCAACGTTTCATGAAGCATCGGAAAGGCAGGCGGTTTTCCAGCTTGAGCTTTTAAGGAGCATCTTAAAATGGTTCAATTTTTCTGGGCTTCTCCTGGGTCTCAAATTGTTTTTTTGGCCCTTGGACGTGTCCCTAGCCTTTGGTGACAGCTGTTCTAAATGCGGCACTTTATTGTCCTTCGACCTATGAAAAACACATCTCCTGGAGCACCAAGAAGGTCTCATTACAGAAAGCCAAAATTTGTAATGTTCTAAGAATCTGTTTGGGCTAAGAGTACCACCAGATTGTCTGAAATTAAAATATGAAGTCATGTATTCCCAATAATAATAGTACACTAGTAAATAAATAATATTATTACACTAGCAAGTATACAGAATAAGGAATAACAAATACAATACGTTTTTTTTCCGAAGAACATCCCATACCAAGCCCAGAGAGTATGGCAGAGTCGTTGTTTGTGGATAAACAGACCTCGGATTTCTTGTCGCTTTCGGATTTGGTGGTTGTATTTTTTGGGGCCGACAGCAAAATGTATTTAGCATAAAAATTTACGATAATGAGAGCACAGAACAACAGCGACCACACCACCACAGACGCAAACAGCGCATCAAATTTCGCATAGGCAAATAGACAACAAATGGAGGATTTTTGGTGATGGTGTGTAGTATACGGCCTGGTATCCTGCCAGCAGTTGCCCCTGTTTGTGGCCAGTATGGCGACGCATTGTGGCTGTCACAGGTTCCCGGCAAGTGTCATTGCTCGGCAAATGCGCAAAGTTAAATTAATATTTTCCACGAGACAGTGGTTCTGCCGAACCATTCTGCTTCTCTACCAGGCATTTAAAAAATTGACGAATTTCTGTGCGGTCTAACCAACATCAATGTCAACTGTCCTGGGCTCTGTCAGGAATATTCATGACGAGGTGTGCACCCACCACACTCACTTGTATTCTCACTCAGATTAGCAAAGTTTTCTGCAGTCATTTATTTTGAAAAACTTTGTCATTTTATACGGGAGGGAGATAGGCGACTGCCGACTCGGATCCTGAATATTTTGATAGCGCGATAATCGCATTTGACACACCGAAATGGTTCGCCTTAATACGAGAATTTGGCAATGCATTCCAGAGTCTGACACTTGCCGCTCTGTTTGCCCTGGATGGGTTCTCGAAATGAATTTCTTTTTGAGGGAATTATGCTAAAGAAATGAAAATAAATGCAAAGGAACCCCGGGCACTTCAGGTTGCCATTTACATTTCGCACTGGCATTGGCATTTTATATTGTGGACTGCATTGAAATCGCACTGAAATCCATGAATGGCTCGAATGTGTCCTCTAATGCGTATTTGTACTTGTGTGCGTGCTTGTATCTCTGCAGTGGGATTTCGCGTCAGACACCCCGTCCTTCGTCCTGCGCCCTGCGTCTCCTCTGCGTCCATAAATTATTCATTTCGTTTGAGATGTTTGATGTGCCTCCAAGTAGCATGATGTCCTTGCACACTCACACAGACACAGAGTCCCATATTGCCAATCGGCTTGTTGCAGTTTTTTGCACTGCCCCCCTCTTTCTCTTCCTCACCAGAAGAGAGGTAACTTCTCCCCGCATTTCATTGATTTGATTCATTTTTTAGCTCCATACCCCCAGCCCCAGAACACTGCGGTGTGTTATTGTTGGTGTTTGCCACAGCTTTGCATAAATAAGATAAACACAAGGATGTGCTCCGTGGGTAGCCGGAACACCCCGCTTCAGTGGCCGCTCCTTGCGAGAATCCGGAATCCTGGCTACAGGATCTCCGGGCAAGGCATCCACCATCGTCTCGAGTCGATGCTGTGATTTATTTTGCACTCAATGTTTGCCAAAGTAAAATTGATTGAAGCGTTTGTTGGCGTTCCAATTGATTTTCACTACAGTACGTATCCGTGTGTTGCACCATCCACCCCCTCTCAGAGGGCGGCCCTTGTGTCTTTTGCCACCTCCACTTTCATCCCGCCCAGGACTTCTTTTTTGCACTTTCTTCAGTGGTGGCCAGATTCGAGTGCTTTCGAGTCAGGGCTGTGTGTTTACAGTGGTTAAATTAACTTTGGTCAATTTGGTTTTTGTCGAGTGTCAGGACATGGTAGGACATTAAAATAAAGTATATTACAGACCTGTGATTTTCTTTATCAGGAAAATAAATGGAAACACCTTTGAAAAGGCTTTTGACCCAAGCTGTAGGGTCCTTGGGAACTCTCTGTGTGATTGTGAGTATGGAATACCATTATTTATTGTTTTAACAGCCATTATATAACAAATTACATAAACTATAGGCTCTATCCCATCCTATTGCAATTGTCTTTCAATGTTTGCTAATAGATTGCTAAAGATTCGCTCTCGGAAGCGTCAGTTGCAAAAATCGCAACCATTCATCAAACGTCGTGCTCTGATTTTATTAACTGACGCTGATGGTGATTGAGGCACATCTGGGCCATCAACACCTGCAGCCGGCAGTCGATCATCAGCCAGCACCCACCACACCCATGTCCTGAGGCCATGTCCCACCCCGCCGCTCTTTCCTCTTACCGCACCGCCACTTAGCAATGCCACCAATCGCCACCAAACTGCAGTCGCATAAATCTTGGGCTGTCAGGAGCAAAACATCCTGGGGGCGGGGAAGCCGGACCCCCAAAGACGGAGCTAACAAATTACTGACACAGACCCAACAAAAAAGGAACAAAAAGATGAGCCATGGAGACAGTGGGGCAGTAAAATGAAAGAAATAATAATAGCAATAATAATTATGCAGAATATACCAAATATACGAAATATAAAAATAAACACGCAACGCAAATGTATGCCACTCATTTTTATGAATGGGCATTTATCATAATTAAAAATTCTGCCAACACCGGGGGAGGCGGCGGTTCTCGGCAGCCCACCAAAGCCCTCCTCCACTTTAGCCAGGCCCTCGCCCCTCCCTCATTAGCCTACTTGCGGATTCCGACGTTTCTGACCTAAGACACGCCACACATAAATACATATATCCTTGTGTCCTGGGAGCACTGAAAAGAGAGTGCGTCAGCGAAAAGCCGACAACGAGGACAGCTTTTTTGTGTGCGGAACAGCTGTTGCTGTTTGGTTTGGGACAAGTTTTGGGACCGGGCCGTAAAGTAAGGCACTGGAAGAGTCCGTTGGTGTAGGGCATTACGGCGCAGGTCCGCCGGCACTCCCACTCAACGGGCCTCTCTTAAGCGGCAGCTCTCTCTTCGCCAGGGACGGAATTTTCCGAACCGAGTGCTCGGCTTTTCCCACGGACGGACCCGTGTGAGCCGTGGAGCTGTTTTGGGGCCGTCGTGGCCGCTGCCATCACCCGTCGCCACTTCGAATGCCGTTGTCGTGGGCTTCAGTTGTGCCTGACGCTGAGTCGATGTCGTTACTGCCGCCATTGTGACTGAAACTGTGACTGTGACCCAAACTGTAACAGTGACTCTGGGCATTGTCGTGTACCGTGCTGTGAACGCTTCAATTAATCGGTGATTGAGTGCCTGCGAGCTACAGTGACCGCCAAATTGGCCCGGTTAGAACCCCGAGAGTGTCGTAGTGCATCCAGTCACTTTTTGCCGCGCCACCTCAAGGATAATATAGTGGTAAA